ATCTAATCACTATTTTAAGTGCACTGTGTCACATCTTATATGTGCTAGAAATCAGGAGAGAGTTTAGTCTGTGAGCCTAAGACCTGGACAATCCCAAGTTGATTTGAAACAATCTCAATTTCATTGGTAAATGACCATTGTGGGCCTATAATCATGGCACCACATGGTAGCTAAGGAAACAATTAACTTGTCTGAAGTGTAAACAGTGAGCAATTCATGAATTGTCAATAGACTTCCCCATGAGAGCAGTAACTGGCACTGGATCAGACATGTACCAATTATACCCAGACCATATGGCCAGTGACTGGAGGGAGAGAAATAAAGGCAGAAGATGGTTTGTTCTCCTGCTTGGGGTAAGAGAGGTCCGGATGTAGAACCACCTCAGGCCTTCCTTCAAAGGAGTAGATTGGCACAATGCCCCACCCATCCCACTCCAACACTGCCCCAAATCTTCCAAATGGCAGGGGTGGAAACACTTTAAAACTTTGGCACATTTTGTTTCACTGCGGTAAGACTATGTTTACTCTGGCTTAGGGCCAAAGATATGAGAAGGAATTGGGCTGGGTTCTTCAAATAACCCAAAAGACAACAGTTATTAAGTCCAGGCTGGTTGAACTTTAGAAAAAGAAATATTTCTCCTCCTCAATACAATCTCCATCTATGTGTTTATAGATCATTGTACCATAGATTTAGAGGTAGCAGGGCCATCAGAGACCAGGAAATCCAGTCACCTCATTTCAGTCAAGGAAACTGATGGTCAGAGAAATTAAATTACTTACTCAAGGTCACACAGGTAGGGAGTAGAAGAGGCAGAATTTGAACACACATCTTTCTGACTACAAAGCTCACCCTTTTGATGCTCTTTCAGAAATACAGGCCCTTCAACACAGAGATTCAACTACTAGGCAGGAGGAGATCAACTATGAAAAATAAATTCTTCATATTCATCAAAATATTTATATAAAATCTTTTTGTAGTAGCAAAGAACTGGAAATAAACTGGATGCTCACTGATTGGTAGCTAACTAAATAAAATGTGGTACATAAATGAAATAGAATGTTATTGCTGCTATAAATGACAAAAAAAAATATGAGTACAGAGAAGTATGGAAGAACTTATATCAAACTGCTGCAAAGTGAAGTAAGAAAAACCAGGAAAACACTATACATGACAACAGCATGAAAAGAAATGGAAAGTAAAAGAATAGCAACAAAACAAATGAAACTGAATGATGCAAAATTAGAATGACCAAAATTGACCCTAAAGTAAAGAAATGAGAAAAGACCTCCTTCTGCTTTTTTCCAGAGCTGGGATACTATGGTTATGGAATACTGCATATGATGCTAGACTTTTTCAATATGTTGGTTAGTTTTGATGAACATGTTTTCTCTTTTTTATAAAAGATGGCTCTCTGAGGGGCAGCTAGGTGGCACAGTGGATAGAGCACTGGCCGTGGAGTCAGGAGGACCTGAGTTCAAATCTGACCTCAGACACATAACACTCACTAGCTATGTGACTCTTGGCAAGTCACTTTAACCCCAGTTGCCTCACCAAAAAAGATGACTCCCTGAGAGAATGACAGAGGAGACATACATGGGTAATATAAAAACAAAAGTAGTAGAAGAGAGGGAGGGGAAAATAGCAGAAGGGAGGGAGTGGGAAAGAAGAGGGGAGGGAAGGAAGGAAGGAAGGAGGAGAGGAAAGAAAGAAAGGAGGGAGGAGAGGAAAGGAGAGAGGAGAGAGGAGAGACAAACCCATTCAAAAAGACAACTCTATTTTCTAAGTAAGGTTGACCATAGTAAAATGTTTGTCTTCAGTGCCTCTGCCCTTGCCTCTTTCCCTTTCCCTGTGCCCCACCCCAGACAGTCAATGCCTTCATGAGTATCATTGATTGCACTCCTCCACAACTCTGGCCATGCCCACATGGTCTCAATTCATGCCAGGGAGAGAGAGGAGCGGTAGTGGAAAGAGAGCCATATCAGAAGTAAGAATCTGCGGGTTCTAGTCTCGTCTTTATGGTTAATTTTCAGGGTAATCTTAGACAAATCGCATCACACCCTAAACCCCAGTTTCCTTGTCTAGAAAAGAAGGGAGTTTCATACAGTAACATCTGAGGTCCCTTCCAGCAATTTGAGGTGTGAGACTAAAAGCAGAAAAAGTAAGCTACTGGCTTCCTGAAACTCACTTTAAACTTGAGAAAGAGAAATAAAAGGAAATTTGATGGCTTAATAAAGACAATATTGCTTCATAGACCAATCATTCTCATGCCTACAACATTTGGACTTGAACAGCTGTTGACTGGCACAATTAGGCTCAGTTCTCATCACTCTTTTATTAAATAGAAAACAGACATGTTGAGTATTTTCTTCTTCACTTACTAATTTGTCCTTATGTTGTAGTATCGGGTTTTGCCATCCTGCCACAATCTCGGTAACAAAAGCTGGGAATTTCTTATCTTGTTTATTGCAATATAATTTCATTTTTTAAGATGTTTCTTTTTCCTTTCTTCCCCTTCCAAACAACTAAAAACCAAGTGGAAGTTCCCCAGCATGTTGAAAGGATCCTCTCTGGAGGACTCGCAGGACATGGACAAGAGCTGCACAGGAGATGGATGCTTATGGTTGGATTGGTTTTTTTGTTTTGTTTTGTTTTTTGTTTTTTTGGCTAAGCAATGGGGGTAAGTGACTTGCACAGGGTCACACAGCTAGTAAGTGTTATGTGTCTGAAGCCAGATTTGAACTCAAGTCCTCCTGAATCCAGGGCTGGTGCTCTATCCACTGCGCCACCTAGCTCCCCCCTCTATGGTTGGATTGTAAGAGGAAGTGGAGATGTGGTGGGTAGAGTGTTGAACATGAAGTCAAGGAGACTCAAGTTCAAATCTTCACCTCAGATGGTTACCAGACATGATCTTGGACAAGTCATTTAACTAATTTGAGTTTGTTTCCTTATCTATAAAATAAGTGTGAAGGATTCAATGACCTCTATGGTACCTTCCAACTCTATAGCTATAATCAACCCCTCCCAAGTATTAACTGGGGACCCATGTGCCATGTGCTATGCTAGGTACTTGGGGTACAAGTACAAAGAATAAAACAATCCCTCCTCTCAAGGAAGTTATATTCTAATTTGGGAGACAACTAACACATATAAAAATATATACAAAATAATTCAATACAAGGTAGTTTTGGAGGGAACGCAATAGCAACTGGACCTATATATTATTAAAGGGAGTAACCACATTGATGTGATCACAGGGATCAATAATGTACTAAAGTCTCTGAGTAAGAATCACAGAATCTTATATTTGGAAGGAAGCTTACAAGTCATCTGGTAAAAGCTGAACAGGTGTTTCACTGACAATATCGTTAATGCACGGTCATCCAGCCTGTGTTGAAAGCCTTCCAGTGGCAGGGAACCTGCTACCTCCTGTGGAACATTTTACATGTAGGGAAAATGAGTTCTACTTTCCAGTTTTTCCTTACATGTGTAAATGTTAGGGTGAAGAGCAGAGAGATAAATGTTGACTAGAGAAGAGCAGATATTAATTTGAGTTCTTGCTACTGCTGCTCCACCATTGCACAGGTTATCTTGAAGGGAGAAAGTAAATGAAAATTATAGGATTGACCCATCAGAGATGGGTCAGAGATGACAACATAGTTCTGGGAAATGTCTTGGACTTGAAAGGACATCAGAACACTGAAATGGAAAAGAATCCTAAAAACCTAGCCACCAAGGAAAGAAGTTTGAATTTGACCTACAATTAAATAAATTTTTGAGGGAATAGGGTCCCTTATTCCTGGAGATGGCCAGCCATAGTATCACTTCACTATAAAACTTTCTGAATGTAGGGAAATATCATGTGATCAGCCAGACATAAGGGTTATTTTGCTGCATAACTCTTAAAACTAAAAAAAAATTTTTTCAGAAAAAAAGAATTATGTTGTAGATAGTATGATTAAAATTGAAACCACAGGATACAAAGATTAAAAACCCCTATAAGTTAAAAAAAATTCATAAAATAATATCAAAGAATAATAATTCTTTAATTATTAATTAATAATAATAAATAAATAGAGCTCCCACTTAGAAGGTCCAGCTTTCCAAACTACTCCACACACAGGAAATAGTGAATTCTCAAAAGTATTAGAAACTTTTAACAATCATATGAAAGATTGTTCCAAATTGTTAATGAGAGAAATACATGGCCAAAGACCTCTCAGGATTTACCTCTTGCTCAGTAAGTTGGTAAAAAAATTTTTTTAAAAGATGGAAATAAATAGCCAATTTTGGAAGGGCTATGGGAAGAAAAACATACTAACACATTCTTGGTGGAGCTCTGACTTGGTCTAACCATTTTGAAAAGCAATTTGGAATTGTTCTAGAAAATGATTAAATATCCATACCCTTTGACCCAGAGAGGCAATGTGGTGTAATGGATAGATACCTAGATTATAAGTCTAGAAAGCCTAGATATAGCCCAGCCTCTGACATATATTGGCTGTTACCTGGGGAAAATCAGAGAAGCCTGATTCAGAAGCAGGAAAACTGATTTATATTAGTATGTCTGTGTGTATATGCACATATGTATACATATATAGCTGCCCCAGGGGCAGCTAGGTGGCACAGTGGATGGAGCACTGGGCCTGGAGTCAGGAAGTCCCGAGTTCAAATCCAACCTCAGACACTTCAGTTTCTTCATCTGTAAAATGAACTGGAGAAGGAAATGGCAAACCACTCAAGTATCTCTGCCAAGAAAATCCCAACTGGGGTCATGAAGAGTCAGACACAACTGAAAGACAACTTGAGATATAAATCTTTACGTGTGTGTGTGTGTGTGTGTGTGTATAAACACATACATATATACATGCATATAGGTTAATTTTGTTGAACTGCTTTTCTCTTACTTTTTTCATCTTTGTTACATGAGACGTTGCACTGGATAGAAGCGGAGAAAAGGATATATTTGGAAATGAGTATGATGCAAAAAAAAAAAACAAATATAAGATCACATTTTTTAATTATAGCCATAGGATGCTGGATCAGTTTCATTTCCAGACCTGTACTTCTATATATTCAAGAAAGGTGAATAGCAGGCAGCACTAAGTGATGTGTCACCTTGGAAACAGGGAGAGAAGAAATCAGGCGCAGTGTGTGAGAAGAAACCAGTTCTTATTCCCAGGCTGAAATATTCCTCTGTGAACCCCAGGGTTTCCAAAGTTCTTCATCTTGAAGAGAAAGAAAACAATCTCATTTTAAAATCCTTTTGAATCTCTATAGGACCTCAGAGGAAGGCCTTTACCTGGATTTTTCAAAAGCAGATGAATACCACTAACCTCCTTGATTTTGGTCCCCGTTGACTCTAGCCCGATGCCAGTGTTTTCAGCTTTAAAGTGTAACAGTAATTACCCTAGCCCCCACTACCTATAGGCCAGGTGTATTACATTACATTACATTACACCCCCTCCCCAGGATTCTCTGGTATCCTCACAGGGCATTAGGAGTATCTGCACTCTCTACTTGGCTTTGGGCTCTATCAACAGAATCCCCCTAATTGTAAGAGAACCTTTGCACCCCAGTTGCATTTAACCACTTATCAATCATATTAGCTTTATTTCAAAGGATATCAAGGACAAATGTAGAAACATTCCCATCACCTGGGGGCATAATCTCTGCCTCCAAACCACAACATACTCTAGGGAAAAGATGGGGTTTAGGTTCATCGTTTAGCTCAATCCCAAATTCCAAGTCCAAAGCCCCCTTGGGATCCAGTCCTGTGTACCCTGTCTTCTCAGGGCTTTGCTGTTGGGCTGACAGCATCATCTAGCCCAGAATCCTTCCTCTGAGGGCGCCATGGCTCAAGCTCCAGGGCCCACTGGGCATTCCACTACCTGTTTCTAGAACTGAAAAGGAGAAACAAAATTGACCAGACCAAAACGCCAAGCCTGTTTCTTGGGGCCACAAGGTAAAAGGGGGGAGGAGGAAAGCTAGCCCTTCTCCCCTCACCAGTTTAGCTCCTGGTGCTACAGGTGAATTTGGAACTTCACCTTTTCTGGACGCAACCGGAAAAAAAAAGTATTCCAGTCTGGACATTTTAAAGATAACAGCTTGTTCTAGTTATATGAGCAAAGAAAAGAGGTTATTCTCACCTACGTGGAAGGGGAACCTAGACTGTCTTCTCCTAGAAATAGATCATTCACTTCTTCCATTTTAGATGATCTGGGCATAAGCAAATCAAAACCCCCATTACAAAGGATTCTTAGACCCTTTGATGAAGAGGGGAGGTACTTTTGGTCCTCCTGGACTCTAAGCCATTCACCAATGTTTTCCATGTTAGAAATATGGGGTATATGGAGTGTTCAGGAAGGACGAGCACCTCTGGTGTGAGGGCCTTTTCAGGGCTCCTCATCCATCTTTGGCATCCACCTCTCAACCAACTCTCACCTGTGGCTCCAAGAAGCTATAGCATGCACAGCGGTCACAGCTCAGTAAAACCATCTCTGCAGATGGGCTAACCTAGGTTGAGGGTAACCAACAGGCCTCAGACTTGTTGGTGAGTTAAAGTGGTGAATACCCCAAGCACGTGAAGACTTACCCTGATGTGATGGGAGGATCAGAACAATTTGTTCCAAAGGTCATCAAGGTGGCTGAAACAGGTGCTGTGAAGCACTTAGAGGCTGGTCAGATATCAAAGATGCCAAGATCATCCACTGCATCTCAACCATTGCCAGTCATCCTGACTTTTATCTTGCCACTGAACTTTGATGACTCCAGAAGAGAGAGTGAGACTGACGTCTTTGTGTAATTCTGCCTCACTTAAGTCCAATTCATATGCAAGTCAAGCGATGTTCCTGGTCCTCTTTGAGATGAAAGAGAAGCAACCATGTTAGAAAAATCTCAGCTTGTCTTCTTTTGCACCAGCAGATTCTTCTTTCTGAGAAAGGAGGCTGGCAGTCATCTCTGACATAACATTGGCATGGACTAGACTGCAGTGGTTGGAAACCTATGGCCTCAAGGCCACATGTGGCCTTCTAGGTCCTCAGGAGCAGCTTTTTGACTAAGTCCAAGTTTTACAGAACAAATCCTTTTATTAAGAGGATTTGTTCTGTGAAGTTTGGATTCAAAGGGCCGCAATTGAGCACCTAGAGGGCCACATGTGGCCTCGAGGCTGCAGGTTCCTCACCCCTGGGCTAGAGAGATTGATTTACCCTACCAAGAGGAGGAGTAGTAGTAGTTGTTGTTGTTTTATGAAACTCTTATATCTTGATACAGTTTCAAATTTCTGAACCTAATTCCCACCACCACCACCACCACCAAAACTTCCCCTAACACATCTTTAAACTAGGGAAGAAAATCTGACAATCAGGAAGTTTTTCATCTGTTGATCGCAGTTGTTGTTTTCCAATTAACTTCCAAACACTGATATTTCCAAATATAACCTAAATCTTGTGTTTGCACAGACTCTATCAGCTTGCTCTGCTGATGCAACCTCCCGTATGGAGAAACTGGGAAGCCTGCTTCTGGGAGATGTATATAAGAGATGCTTTGGAGAGACTGTGATGCATGTGTAGACACTGTGTAACTAGTCCCAATCTGTTAACCAAGTGGTTAGGAGGAACCTTTTTCAATTGACTATAGCAAGAACTGTGGCCATCTCCAAAATAGTCTTAATTAGTGTTGGTCACCTCTCTTCAACTCATTCGATGACTCCTTTACTCATGGTATCTGGTGAGAGACTATGGTATGAAAGAAGAGATGCCACCATTGTACATGAACACGGTGCTACCAATGCTGTGTAGGAACTGAATTAAATTGAGCTAACACTGTACTGGCCGCGCCGACCTTCTGCCGGCCGCGCGCCGGTACCCTCTCCTCCTATAAGGAGCAGGCTACCAGAGTCATACTCACTTCCGAGTCTTCGGTACTCAGCCGGATAAACACACAGAGATGAGCCATCGGGAGGCGCCAACACCAGAGCTTTATTCAGAGGCCATCACAGCAAGCCATCACAGCAAGCCCAAGCAGCAAGGCCAGAGCAACAGAACAGGAGCCAGGAGAGAGCGCGTGATCTGACCACGCTTGTTCCTAAATACCTACCTAGCCCCTCCTCCCCAGCCCGCTTACTAGCCAATGATTGTAGGGTCAGATACCAGAAGGGGCTGTCTGAGTTTAGCACACCAAGGGGGAGGGAGTGACGTAGGAGGCTAGGACCGGATACAGGGAGGAGGCTTCTGGGATTAGTGCATAGACAGAGTATGTGACCTAGGAAGTCAGACTCAGAGACTGGGAGGAGGGGTCTGGGGTCAGTGCTGCACAAAGGGACCCAGGAAGTCAGGAAGGTCACAAGAGGCGTCTGGGGTTGACGTTGCATATAGGGAGGGGACTAAGCAAAGGGAACTCAGTCCTCTGCCGTCCCACTCCCACGTGGCACCGCCCCTTGCCTCAGGAGCTCAAGCTCCGGCTACTTCTTTGCACCCAGCTTATCTCACATAGCACTGCCCACTGCCTCAGGGCTTCTCCGTACCCAGCCCATCCCAGTTCACCACGACTCCGCCTACCACAGCCCCTGCCTCGACTTCCAAAATACCCAGATCTTACCCTACTCTTGCCACAGCACCCAACCTGGTAGTCAGACAGTCCCTCACAAACACCACTTCTAGGAAGCAAAGCAGTATAGGACAAAGATATTGGGGAAAATGTTTGTACTTTGTTCTTCCTATATGTTTGAAGTAAACACTTCTTGATAAAATCCAATTTATGTTTAGTGGTTAAATGGAAGTGGGGCACTAATAACTGGAACCTAACAGTAGGAAAGGTAACACAGTTAATGGGGGGTTGAGCCCATGGTAGTAGAAGAGAAACACTAGTCCAATCCCTCAGTGTACCTAGAACCATGAAGGAAGATATAGCCAGTCTAGATCTGGGAGAAATAGCCAGAGTACACCCACTACACAAAGATTGGCCACTTATTTATTCACTTACGTTGTACTTATTTTATGCTGACAAGAGTAATAATCACAGACACATTGATATATGTTAAACATATGTGTAGACCTAATGAACATGTCATCCTGTGTCTTCATCCATCACTGGTTCTGAAGCTCCTTGAACTCTCAGTAAATTCCCTTCTCTATCTCTCCAGTCTTGAAAAGAATTATGTGAGATTAGGTGAAGAATGGGAAGGACCTAACAAGCCATCTTTAGTAAGCTCCCTTATCTCACCTACTCCACACCAAAACACACACATTTAATATTAGGAAAAGGAAAACCTTTCCAATAGTTAGAGCTGCCTTAATATTGAATGGAGGAATAGTGAGTTCCTCATCACTAGAGATTTTTAAGCAATAGTTAGAGGACCCTTTGTCCATGGTGCTGTAGAGGGAATTTTTGCTTCCATATTGTGTAAACCATATGAAGGTGGGTAAGATGTAGGCCAAGTACAGTGTGCTGTGTACTCTCAACAAACCTGGCATAGCCTTGTCTTCCAATGACTGAAAGAGACACCCCACATAGCAATAATCAGGGTAACTGAAGGCAGTCTAACAATATACTCTTGCTTAAATCTTAAAGTTGAGTGGCAGGGTCCTTACATACAATGCCACAGTATGGCATGCAAATAATCTGCTGAAGTATAACCTAAATATTATTCTCTTAGATGACCAAACTACAACTGTGAGCACTACTAGAGCCCTCTGGAGAGCTGCATTGATTCTGGGACTGGCTGTGTGGTCCCAGAGGTCCAGCATCATTAATTCTGAAATGCTTCAGAGCAGCAGACATGGTGGAGCAGATGTGAGGAGTTACCAGATATCTGGCCTTAGTTTTCTCCATAACGCAAGAGGTGAGGTCTTCCACTGAGAGAGGAGTAGAAGTCACATAGAGAGATGAGTATTTGGAAGAACCAATATGAAGAATATTATTTTTTGAAAGTCAATTAGGGTTAGATGTGCTTACCACATAGCAGGAAGGGCTTAGGTGAGAAAAAAATAGCATCACTTTGTAGCAGACCCAGCTGGCATTGGTTATATGACTTTATCCATATGGCTTCTTCCAGTGGAGCTCAATAGCATGAAAAGAGGAAAGCAGATAAAAGCACATAGCTTATAACTCATTGATTTAAAACTAAAAGGAACCTTAAGGTCACCAACTCTAATCTCATTTTGTAGATGAAGAAACAGAGGCAATAAGATATTAAGTGATTTGCCCAAGGTCATATGATGGAGTTAAACCAGGTTAGGTTGGCAAGGAATAAATGGTAGTAGGACAAGGGGATATAGGATTCAAATGCAGTATATACTACCTACCTATACACACACACACACACACACACACACACACACACACACACTCCTCTGTACATGGCTCTGAGAACTGTCACTATTACATGGGTTCAGTGGCCTGTTTTGAGTCATCATTCAGATTTATAGCCATGAGTCTTCACTGAATGATTCTTTGCCACAACAAGCTAGACTACACACAGATTAAAAGCAAAATGGCTTTTAATGAAACTGAATCGCAAGGTAATAATGAGGAAGTGAATCAAGTAAGAAACATTCTCAGTGAGTATCTCCAGATGGCAGCTTCTAGCCAGACCTCCAAGGAAGACAGAGTCAAATCACCACTCTACTCCCCTGGTCTCCAACACAGTGGAAGAACTTTAGCAGTTCAAACTCATGGTACCAAAGTTGTAACTTGAAGCCTCGCCTGTGCTAACTAATCAGTTCTCCTTCACTCTTGAGTTGGTAATGTAGAGAGCACAATTTGCTTTGGAAATGATGTATTGAAGCCTCCAGCACTGACATACAGACCGCTGTTGGCGTCCAAATGTAATGCTGAGCTTAGAATACCTGAGTTACAGCATTCTCCTGGTCTACTAGACCAGTCTAGTAACTTTGCCAGAAAGAGAAATAAGGTTACTCTGTCTCACAATGCTTTTGATGCCAGGTCCATGAATGACCTTCCTTTCCACATGACCACCACTCCCATTTCTGTTGCTGTTGTCCTTCCATTTCCTCACATTCTGGCCATATACATTATCATTTAATTATACCTGTGAAATCATTCAAAACATTCCCACATGACATATTGCCAAAAAAAAAATAAGCAAAAAATAAAAAATAAAGGAAGCAAGAAAATTATACTTCAATTTGTACTCAGTTCATCAGTTCTCTCTCTGGAGGTGGATAGCATTTTTTCACCATGAGTCATCTGGAATTGTCTTAGATCATTTTATTGATCAGAGTAGCCAAGCCTTTCACAGTTGGTCATCATTACAACATTGCTGTTACTGTACACAATGATCTCCCAGGTCTCATTTAATTTTGCATCAATTTATATAGGTCTTGCCATGAGTTTTTTTTAAACCCATCCTCTTGTCATTTCTTATAGAATAATAGTATTGCATCACAATCATATGCCACAACTTGTTCAACCATTCCCCAATTGATAAACATCCCCTCAATTTCCAATTTGCCACTACAAAAAAAACCTTCTATAAATATTTTTGTACATATAGGTCATTTTCCTTATTCTTTGATCTCTTTGGGATATAGACCTAGTAGTGGTATTGCTGGGTCAAAGGTGGGCACAGTTTTGTAGCCCTTTGGGCATAGTTTCAAATTGCTCTCCAGAATGGTTGGACAACTCCTACAGTTTATTAATATACCTATTTTTCCTCATCCCCTCTAGTAT